ATGTATATATATAGCCTGGTATGATCACAGATTAGCAGTCTCACACCACATGACAGTTCTCTCTTAGAGTAGAGCTGCACCTACACTCCGGAGTGGGCTGGATATGCCCAGCTACCCTGATTTTACACAAATTCAAGCCATAATAAAGGGGCTAGCAGATCAGGCTCTGACTAATAGTCAAAGAAGATGTTATTGAGAGTGTATGTTGCACAGCAAAACAAGAGTGGTGGTGTGAATATGCACTACGTACACGTCATTCGCAACAGGTATCTGGCACAGTTGGGGTTGAGTTGGCTGTGGTTGCGACCACGCTCTCTTTACTTCTCTTGGTAGACCACACGTTGCGCCGAGTGCACAGGTCTTGTACCTGATTGCATGATCACCTTACCAAACCACGATGGCTGCTTGCTTGCACGCAGTGGTAGTAGTACTGTTCCATGCCACAAGCTCATATTAGCAGATAGCCTAGCCAAGTATGTAATTAGACAACTACGATAGGCTCACACAAGTCGAGGTCTATTGCTCATATTAGCAGATAGCCCAGCCAAGTATGTAACCAGACAGCTACGATAGGCTCACACAAGTCGAGGTCTATTGCTCATGTAAGCAGATAACTCAGCCAAGTATGTAACCAGACAGCTACGATAGGCTCACACAAGTCGAGGGGTCTATTGCTCATATAAACAGATAGCTCAGCCAAGTATGTAACCAGACAGCTACGATAGGCTCACACAAGTTGAGGGGTGTATTGCTTATGGCAGTACTAAACAGCTCTTGTGTTATACCGATTGTCTCTTCTATCAAACAGCTCAGCGTATGGCTCCACCAAGGACGTGTCTGCCTACAAACATATAGGGGTGCCCAGAGATGCACTATTTGTGCACGGCAAAGGCACGTCACATGTAAACTATCTACCTACAGGCTTCACAGAGGAGCACCTGGAATACGTCATGGGTAGGCGGGCGGCCTCTCACAGTGCTGGGGCGGCTGCGGTATGTTATATGGATGTACGTACAGTACATGCATGGGTGTATACAGCGGTAGTGGTATATGCATACATGCAGATGGCCATGACAGATTTATGTGTAAAGACATTAGCGTGTGTATTAATAAGCTTGTATGCATTCGAATCCGTATATGAATGGCATGTGTGTGTTAAAGTACGTAGCTCTGTCTCTAATAGGTAGTATACCATACAAATTAATATCGTCCCAGTGTCCTCAATCCCTTTCTACTTCATGATTTATTTCCGCTGGACCCAATGAACCTGCTGACCTGCCCTGTTGCATCGTCCGGGGTTTCTGATGTTGCTCACATTCACAGTCGACCACTTGTAGTATGCCATAGAGAGACGGCCCATCTCCCACTGTGCGGAAGCTACGGATATAT